ATGTATATATATATACATATATATATGTATATGTATATATATACTTTGATCAGCTACAGCTCGTAATGCCACTCTCCAATTATGTACATGGCAACTTTGTTGTTCTGATCAATGTACATTGCCTAGTGATCAGCCTGCTGGCGGTCCTGGGCTTTCGTCGCGACAAAATTCCTCTCGTTTCGTTTTCTGACAGAATTACTCGCTCATCAGTCCTCCCGGGAGAAGTCTTGCAAAGCATTCTAGAAGTCACTAACGTGTGTTGAGAGCAGCACCATCTCGTTTCGAACGTTTTCGATCATTATGAGCACCATACCCACCAGAATATATAATTTTGCAGTGGTACACCCAGTTGAGGAGGATGGGCCGGCTGTCATTCTTCTTCCGTAGGGGCATACCGAAACTGTCAATGCAAGAAAGGAAGTTCGAGAAGCTGTACGGGATTATGCATAACTTTCTTATGAAGAGATTTGAAATTGAGCCACGGGAAACCAATCACTTTATCGTGTCGTTAGATGTCAAATCCAACTAGAAATGCATCAACGAAAACCTGAGATTCTAAGTGGCTTAGATAAACTGGCAAGTGATTCGATGGATGTTAACTTTAGAGCTAAAATATCGAATAGTCCAGGTGGGAAGGGCTGTAGGCTAAATGGGAGAGTGCTGTTGTGATAGCTCAGAAATTAGGTTGAGCTTTCTTCTTTCGGAAACTGGACTTGCCATTGCGGCAGTGTGTGTTTGTTTATTTGTATGTGAGCGTGTGTCTGCGTATTTGTTTCTGCTGTGTGTGTGTGCTCGTACGTATATATATACATATATATATATATACACGTATATACATATATGTATATATATACACATATATATATGTATATATATGTATATGTATGTACATGTAGCGAAATTGTGAGATCGCAATAGTATCTCTGATTTTTGGTTCTTGAGTGAATCTCGTGCAGGTCAGGGTGTGGAGATTTGGCATAGTTGCAACTGTCTCGTCTTATCGGTTACGCCACAGCTTCATACTGAAGTTCAAAAGGTCAGAATGAAAGGAGACGGCTTTTGTCATAAAATATCAGTCGTAGTCTTTTTGTTGTATGGAGTACTGCAAGTTACAAGCTATTTTCTTGTCTTTCAGACGGCTAGCTATTTTGCTGGGCTTATATTCTTGCTTGGGATGATTACTTTCGATATTTTCTGGACCTGCGGTATTGATGTCTTGTGTGAGTTTCTTTTCTTTAAGTCTTCATCAGCGTTGGCTTAGGGTTCATGTGCTTTGATGAAAATAGCATTGTAAATCAAAGTAATAAAAAGGGCATTATAAATTGATCGGATTATACTGCTCACATCGCTGATCAGCGGTAAACATCGGATGTCAGGGGATGCTGGAAAGATTTCGCAGAGCTTCCTCGTGATGATGGTGAGCACCGACTGGAAACATGCAACGCGGAATTGCTTCCAAAGCGAGTACATCCCATAACATTTAGAATCCCGCAGTAGACCGTCTGGACGATTTTGATGCATCATGTAGAGTAGCTTGTTTTAAATCCGGGTGGGTGCAGCTGTGGAGTGCTTCGAACTTCCTGCAGTTTCCGGGACAGTTGGAAGTGAAAAAAAAAAAAAAAAAATAATTGGCCAACGCATGGGCTGCCGTGCGAAGATGCGTTTTTTGCGTGGGTCC